TTGTCCAGAGTCAACTCAGACCAAGTTTCTCCGTAGCAGTTTTGACTTATAGCAAGGCCCTTTTCTCTCAAATAGCTCGCCAACAGTGATGATGAGTCGTATGATGATAATTTAAATGCCGTCAATTTGGCTAATGCTGTAAAGGTGTCCGATCCTACCTTATGTTGAACTTTGTTAATCCTGGACCTGATATTAACCACTGGCAACTTAAAAATTCGAACATTCTTTCCATACTTGAATCACAGTCCAAATCTTTTAAGAACTTTTTATTGGGCTACTTCTAGTATCCACGTTTTAATCATGGCCATATAGGAGACTGGTAAAGATGCTGTTTTGTGTACACAGATCCTCTTTAAAAGGTTTATAAACTTGCGAGCTGCTTATGGCAATAGCCTGAGTACTTGTCAGGCAACAGCGACATGCTTCATTCTGTCTCGCCTGAGATCTATCTATCTCTTCTACGGACCCTTCAAATAATCATAAGGATTTATTTTGTTTTATTAGATGTTCTAATTGGTCTCAAAGGTTAAATACATAGGTGAAAAATGATTTTATTATAGCACCTAAGTACTACTTTATTAAGGAGTGGAGACAACGTTTAGTGGGCCCTAGCGTTCTCATTTATCAAGTACTTAAAATTTGATTAACAGACCAAGGACTAAATCTCGTCAGTTTTAGACATGACCGATCAATAAGCCTCTTCACCAATCTTTAGTGATGTCAAAAGGATTCAACCTCAACCTAAAGGCTCACGTTTTTTACAGGGAGTTTTATTTTCGATGCCTAAATATTTGTGATATTATAACGTTTACACTAAATAAATTTTGTTAGGGTGTAACTTGACTCCGACTTTGCTCTTTCAGACATTGATATACTTTTAGCCTCACCTTATGCCTAAATATTGACGGATTAATATAGTTCTTGATAAAACACAATAGCTTAAAACCACTTGGTACTACCCTAAACGAAAACAGGCTTCTACTATGTTTTTATAAGTACTTTCGCTTTTCTGAACTCACAAATCACTTTTTTAACACATTGCTTCGCGAAATAAAACCTTATATTCATACTGGAAAATATAGCCATCAGTCATATTATTTCTATTAAATCTTGTAGTTAGGATGCATATTGATATATAAATAACATTCTTTGCGAGAATTTGATTGGCAACGACTATCCTGTAGGGCTTATTGCCAACAGATCTTGTAGGATGAGTGACAGGACGTGGCATGCCTTACCATACTAACACTTTTTTTGAAAATTTTACATTCTATTTTTATCAATTCTTTTTGTCCCACCGACAAATATTCATTGAGCCCTTTCTTCTGAGTTTGTAATAGATTTTGTCTTGATGTTAATTGCGATTTTTTGCGTTAATTGATAGGACATCCTAGCTTCGAATTATTTATCTACTTTGTTAAATATCTAGGCTCCGTAAATTATGAAAATTGTTTTAAGAAATGATTAGTACAATATTTTCTCGCCTCATTTACTCGTTTATCAATGGCATATTTACTAATACCTCATCATGCTTAAGTGCCAATTGTTATTGAATGCTACTATTCACATTTAAGCATTTGCACAAATCTTTTACGAACCAGCTAGTACATTTTTGTTTTGTCCAGCCCGGCATAAATTTGCCACTCATATTAACTTACTCTGCAGTCCAGGTAATTGCAATTTTGTTATCCTTAATTCCATCTTTATGTTCATTTTATCGATGCGTAAATAAGCGCACTCATTTACGGCACATCATACATTGTTTTTTGTTAAATCCTAATGAACCTTTATTATATTGAGCCAACAGTATATGATTTTATTTGTATCCTATATAATGGTATGTATTTCTTATTACAGACAACTTTAGAAGATTTTCTATACGTCTTACCAAATATTCCCTTTATGATACTACTCATTATACATATATTTTAAGAAGGTGCTTTTCAGTAACCTCGCCCGACCTCGGCGAATTTCTGTTGAATCCTCCTTTTTCCTATAGCAAATTTCTTAGGGCTAGCTTCAATTATTAGGATCACTTTATTTTCGCAATGGAATGATAAAATGAGCTTGGTTATTAACTTAAAATGTTGTAGTAAATTTTTGGTGTACTTCTCTTTATATGCATCATATCACAAACGATTTCTTATGGTTACTGGTATTTGTAGATAAAAATAAAAGAGGAATTCTATAGCAACTATGTTTTCTATCAGTTACTATGCCGATTGTAGCAAGACTATTTTCAACAGTTTAACTTTGTTGTAGCCACAAAACGTTGCTATTGTAATTAATACGGCTAAAAAAATCTATTGATCAAATGCACTGAGCGATGAAAGAGCACTCTAAAACATATAGCACTCTCGAATGAAATGGTACTATTTACAGTAACGAGTATTCTTTAAGCTTGTTTTGGGTTTGCTTAATTCACACACATTTTTCTGTCTATACTGGCCTTGATATTTTTAAATTTTTTGCAATTTTGCTTGATATCTATTCTTAGTTTTACTGGTTCTTTGACATTTCTTACCTGGTATATCTGCATATCCCGACTACGCTCTCTAGATTTTTTCGCTGGCGCGGTTTAATACATTCATTGTCATTTACATAAAGAAGCTATATTGTTTTTCTATTTCCTTTGGCTTCGTTATTCATTTTCTCCTATGCTATATTACTTAGATACTTCATGGATCTTAGTGTAGTTACACGAATTTAAGGTGCGATTAAGTTAGAGGAAGATATAAGACTAACCTTCCTGAATCTCGAAACTATTCTCTCAAGTGGGACACTCAAGAGAGGATCATACAAAAAGACCTCGCATGAAGACATAATCCCCAATTTTCAGTCTCATCACAACTTGAAGACAGAATATAGGAATAATGAGAAGCACAATTATCAGAAGCCTAAAATTACTAGACACGGAGTTATGAGATAAAGTATTGGCGAAAAATCACGTGTTAAATGCATTTTTCTTTATGTAAGTAAGTTCTGTCACATAACCAATATAATGTGAAGGAAAACTTTTTTATTTCGATTTTTCCTTAAAAATAATTTCTTTCCACTAACTTTAAATATACTCATTCATTTCACTTCCTATAGGTGGAGTAATTATGTATGGTGCTCTACTACTCTTTGAGGACGACTTCATCCATGTTGTATCTATCACTTTCACATCTCTTCTTCTCACCGAACTCTTGATGGTTGCTATTACCATTCGCACGTGGCACTTGGTTATGCTACTATCCGAACTACTCTCCCTTGCTATTTACATCGTTGCATTGGCCCTTCTCAAGTCCTATTTTGGTAAGTCCGGATATTGTTTGTTTTCAGCTAGCTGGAGCGGTTAGAGTAAAATAACTTTTGCGTTTGTTGCTACCTATTGCTAATCCTCGCTACTACGGTTTATACCGTGTTCCACACTCGCACATATCTCCTAACCCTCATTTTACGCAATCACACGTGGGCATTTCCCATCGTTACCTATTAGATCATTGGACAGTCAGCTCTTACCATCCGTTAGGAGCATACCAATGGACTCATGAGACTGTGACTTTTCGCACTAGGTCTATCCTGACTAATAAGCAACAGACATTCACTTCATGCAAAGTATAAAGCAGGGAAGGCTGTAAACTTAATTTACTCCTGAAGTTGTTTGACCTTGTTTTCGCAACTTGGTTATATTGGTAGGGAAGACTTAGAAGAACGCACCTAGTCCGGAGTCCATTATATGCATCATCATTTACAGAGTAGGACCGTGGACGTGGTACATTACCAGACGTTTCGCCGGCATCGCCAGTGAGTTTCACCATTCGTT